CTCTCCTCCATCTTCCAAGCTCCTACTCGCCCTTCAGGACCCAGCTCGAATGCCCCATCTCTGGGAAGCGCCTTCAATCTCGGGCTGCCCCTTCCGTCACACACCCTGTCCCCAGGCGGTGAGGGACATCTGACTGTCTCCTGCCTCCCCCTCCTTCACACGCAAAGCCGCCACCGCCTGTTGGTGGCCTGTGTCTCTGCTGACCCAGTGCTCTCTTGCTGTGGCCACTGTGGGTTTTGGCCTGGTGACCCAGTCCATGCGTGCACAGCGCAAGTAGCTTCCCAGGACACCGATTTTTTCCCCGGCCACGGCTGTTTCTGGTCCTTTGCCCACTCCCTAAGCTCTGTGCCCGTGACCTGGCCACAGCTCAGTCACCCCAGGACCACCGTGTGCTGGGGATTTGCCGCAGGTTTGCCCTGGCGTGTGAGGTCCAGCGGGGTCCCCATCAGCTTCCCGTCCGCGTCCCTGTCCCCTTCCGGCCTCCTTCTGCGCTGTGGGCAGTGGCTTGGCGCCACCTGCTGGGCTGGTGCCCATGGTGCCACCAAGCGCAGGAGGGACCAGGCGGCTCCCGGTGGGACCCGGTGGCTCCAGGTCTGTGGGAGACTTTAAGTTGGGGCCAAATGTGGCGCTCGCTGCCAACACAGAGCTCCCAAGCTGGACGGGACCCCCTGGCCACGCAGCTGAGAACACCTGTTGTCCTGCCTTTGCAGGAACAGCGAGGCAACCCCTGCCTGGAAGGAGCACTTTCCCCACCGAGGCCGGCCCAGGGCACGTGCTGAGCAGGTGTGTTGAATGGGTGGAAACAGTACAACCCCTGGTTGTGGGACGGGTTGAAGCCCACCCCTGACCCCTCCAGTACCATCCCTCTGTCCCTCCACTCGCTGGGACTGGGGGCGGAGGATGGGGTCACTGTGGGCACTTGATCCAGCTGGTTGACTTCAGGGTCCCGGCAGGGAGTGGCTCTTGCTGCCAGGACAGTAGAGGCCTAGAGAGTCCTATCTCTGACAGCAGTCACCTTGCAGGGTTCGGGCCAGAGAAGGGGAAGGGATGGGAGAGAATGGCCGCCTCCAGGGTCATTTTAACTGGTTGTTGGACAGGGCCAGTGTGACTTCAAGTTCAGTGACAACCCCCCTCTCCATGTCTCTGGGATGAGGTGGGGGCCTGTGGCCCCACTGAGCTGAGCCACCCAGGAGGCTGGGGAAGGAGACGCAGTACACAGAAGCCCAGCATCCTCTGGCTGCATGGACATCTCTACCCAGGCCCTTCTGCAGTCACCTCCCCACTTACCCAGCAGGAGACCAAGCCAATTCTTTTTTTTTTTTTTTTTTTTTGAGACGGAGTCTGGCTCTGTCGCCCGGGCTGGAGTGCAGTGGCCAGATCTCAGATCACTGCAAGCTCCGCCTCCCGGGTTTACGCCATTCTCCTGCCTCAGCCTCCCGAGTAGCTGGGACTACAGGCGCCCGCCACCTCGCCCGGCTAGTGTTTTGTATTTTTTAGTAGAGACGGGGTTTCACCGTGTTAGCCAGGATGGTCTCGATCTCCTGACCTCGTGATCCGCCCGTCTCGGCCTCCCAAAGTGCTGGGATTACAGGCTTGAGCCACCGCGCCCGGCCCCAAGCCAATTCTTTTCTGCGAAACTGGGCTGGCCTCTGTGACTGTCCTGCAACTAGACAGAGGCCTAAGGGACTCTGCACAGTTTCTGGGCTGAGGCAGAAGCAGCCCCGTGGCTTCCCCTCTGCCTCCTGCATGCTGCCTCCTCTTAGCTCTTAGCACCTGCTGGGAGAAGCTGGCCCCAGCAAGGACAAGCCTCCAGGAGACCGGAACACCCACCACCCTGTGCCTTCCCAACTGAGCCCCAAACAGCGTGGAGCAGAAGAGTACTGCCTAGCCCTTCCCTGGAGACTCCTTGAGTGTAACCAAATGGTTGCTGTTTTGTGCCTCTGAGTCTGGGGTGGTCTGTGATGTGCCCAGCTGGCTTGAGTGGAAGAACGTGTCACTTCAAATCCTCATAGCCACCTTCAGGGGAAATGGCCTTGCCTCCCCTGGCAGATGTTCCCATGTCAGGCAGACGTTTTATTCGCCACAGAAAGAGCAGACTGTATTAATGGAGGGCTGTGCAGAGTGACCCAGAGCAAATATTCCAGACCCAGCCTGCCACTTCCACCGTGGCTCCACCGCTTCCTCACCGTGGGCAAAATCTCAGCTCTCTGGGCCTCAGTCCCTTTGTCTATAAAGTGGAGATAAGGACACACAAGCATCAGAGGGATGTTGTGGGAAACAGCTTTGCTGGCCTGCGTGGAGCCTGCAGAGGAAGGCCTGTCCCCCGCTTATGGGGAGCCAACCCCCAAGGTGGCCCATGATGGCTCCTTGCCCTGTGTGAGCCAGAGGGCAAGGCAGGAGGGTGGTGTGACTTTGAGGCCAGGTCACACAATCCCTCAAGGCTTCCATCTTGCTGACTCAGATCACCCATGAGAGAAGCTGAGTGAGGGCACGACAGCTGCCATGTCGTAAGGATGCTCAAGCAGCTCTGGGGGAGGCCCTCGTGGGAGGAACTCAGGCCCCCGCCAGTGGCCAGTGCCACCTCACCGGCCGTGTGGGCGAGCCCCTCAGAAACAGACTCTCCAGTTCCTGCTGGGCCTCTACAGGGCTGCAGGCCTGGGGACATCCTTTCTGCAACCTCATAAGCGACTCTGAGCCAGACCCTTAGCTTGGCCATGGCTTGGTCCTGACCTACAGACCTGGGCGAGATATGAAGTGTTGTTAGGGTTTGAATTGTGGTCCTCCAAAATCATATGTTAAAATCCTAATCCCCCAGCACCTCAGGATGTGACTACATTTGGAGACACTGTCATGAAAGAGGTTACTAAGGTAGGCCAGGAGCAGCTCGTGCCTGTAATCCCAACACACTGGGAGGCTGGGGCCAGAGGATCACTTGAGTCCTGAAGTTCTGAATCAGCCTGGCAACACAGCCAGAACTTGTCTCTACAAAAGAAAAACAAAGAAAGAAAGAAAAAGAGGGAGGTGATGGTGTGGGGGTGAGGGGGGAGAGAGAAAGGAAGGGAGAGAGGGAGGGAGGAAGGGCCATGAAAGTAAAATGAAGTTATTAGGGTGGGCCCAAATCTGACTGGTATCTGTAAACAAAGGAGAGATTAGGACACAGACATGCACAGAGGGATGACACAGGGAGGACACAGGGAGAAGACGGCACCTGGAAGTCCAGAAGAGAGGCCTTGGGAGGACCCAACCCCGTGCACACCTTGATCTTGGTCTTCCAGTCTCCAGGACTGTGAGAGGGTAAATAAATGCATGCTGTTAAGGCCACGGAATCTGTGTTCCTTTGTTATGGCTGCCGGGCAAGGCAATCCAAGGGCTGCTTATTTGACGGTGTCCCATTCTGGATGTTCTCTGATGAGGAGTGATGGGGAACTGTGTACCAGGCACTCCGCTGAGCATGGCAGGGGCCTTGGTCACAGCGATCCGGGAAAGTGTGCTGTGGTTGTCCCTGTTTACAGGGGCCAGGGGGTGCAGCGACTTGCTCGAGGTCACTTGGGCCATCAGGTGGAGGCTGGGGGGCAGCACTTGGACCAGTGCTTTCTGTACCCTGTTGGCCTGGACACAAGCTCCCCATGGTGTCCTCTTTGGAAGGATGGGGGGCAGTGGGCCCCTCGGAGCCCCTGCGGGAGAATCCTCTTCCCTGACAGAGGCAGACACTCAGGTGAGGGAGAGGGTTGGCAGCCTCAGAGCCCAGTTCCTCCCCTCCCTGCGGTCCCCTCAGCCTGCTGGCACTTTCCAGATCTTTCCAAGCCTGGCTACATCACTCAGTCTCAGTGCTGAGTGCTGGGTGCAGAGGCCCTGCTGCCTTTGCCATCTCAGGGTCTTTGTCACTTCCAAGCTTGTGCTTTCTTGTCCAGCCTCTCTGGAGCTCAAGCTCTGAAAGGAGGCGCACTCCTCTGTTTCCCTGAGTTCCTGGTACCTGGCAGGCGGTAGGGCCCAGTGTGTACTTGCTTGGTTGGTTGGATGGTTGGTTGGTTGGATAGTTGGTTGAATGATTGGTTGGTCACATGACTGCTTGGTTGGTTGGTTGGATATGACTGGTTGGTTGGTTGGTTGGTTGGATGGTTGGTTGGTTGGATAGTTGGATGGTTGGTTGAATGATTGGATGGTTGGTTGGTTAGATGGTTGGCTGGTTGGTTTGTTGGTTTGTTGGATGGTTGGTTGGTTGGTTGGATGGTTGGTTGGTTGGTTGGATGGTTGGTTGGTTAGATGGTTGGCTGGTTGGTTTGTTGGTTTGTTGGATGGTTGGTTGGTTGGTTGGTTGCTTGGTTGGTTGGTTGGTTGGATGGTTGGTTGGTTGGTTGGATGGTTGGTTGGTTAGATGGTTGGCTGGTTGGTTTGTTGGATGGTTGGTTGGTTGGTTGGTTGGCTGGATGGCTGGTTGGTTGGTTGGCTGGATGGTTGGTTGGTTGGTTTGTTGGTTTGTTGGATGGTTGGATGGTTGGTTGGTTGGTTGGCTGGATGGTTGGTTGGTTGTTTGGTTGGTTGGATGGTTGGTTGGTTGGTTGGTTGGTTGGATGGTTGGTTGGTTGTATGGTTGGTTGGTTGGTTGTTTGGTTGGTTGGTTGGTTGGCTGGTTGGTTTGTTGTATGGTTGGTTGTTTGGTTGGTTGGTTGGTTGGTTGGCTGGTTGGTTTGTTGTATGGTTGGTTGTTTGGTTAGATGGATGGTTTGTTGGTTGGTTGGATGGTTCGTTGGTTGGTTGGTTGGTTGGTTAGTTGGTTGGCTGGATGGTTGGTTGGTTGGTTGGATGGTTGGATGGTTGGTTGGTTGGTTGGATGGTTGGTTGGTTGGTTGTTTGGTTGGTTGGTTGGTTGGCTGGTTGGTTTGTTGTATGTTTGGTTGTTTGGTTAGATGGATGGTTGATTGGTTGGTTGGATGGTTGGTTGGTTGGTTGGTTGGTTGGCTGGCTGGCTGATTAAAGTGCCTGGCTTGTGCTGGCTTTTCAAAAATGGAGGCCTGAGGACTTGGGAGGGCCACAGGCCTCAGCCTTGCATGGCCGACTGGCATCCACAGGCATGTAACTCACCCAGGGGCAGCCCTGGCACCATGTGTCCAGTAGCCTGTTGGTGCCATGCAGGGGTGAAGAAGACATCAGGCACAGATCTGCATCTGGGGGCCTTGTGAGTGGTGTCAGGGGCCATCAGGGAGGCATGGATCACAGATGTGCTTGATTTCAGAAGTGTCCCTGTCCCACCATCCCAGGCTGCAAGAGGAGAGTCCACGGTTGGGTGAATGACTTCAGATCCCTGAACATGCATGTCTATGAGCTGGGCTTATCCTTTTTGGCTATTAATGAAGATTTAATGCTGGGAAGCCCTTAGCTGAGGCTGGGGCAGAATAAGTGCTTAATAAACACCACCGTTGGAAAGCAGTGATGCTCTTGGAATGCAGGGCATTGGCTAGGCTCATGGACAGAGACCCCAGGCTCTTAGCATGGGGAGGATGGTGCTGCTTGTCCATCTTCTTGGTGGTCCTGGTCTTCTCTGGGCAGCAGGCCCTTGGCCGCCTAATGCAAGTGGCCTCATAACACCCAGATTCAGATTACAAAGTGGGCTTAGGAAGCCTGCATTCCAGGTTAGCACTCACCCTGGGTTCAGGCCCTCCTCCCAGGGCCACAGTGTCCCTAGACCCAGGCCTGGGCTGTATTTTCTCCTGTGCTAATTTCACAAAACACACAACTCATATTCCTGTTGATTGAACAGTTTTGTGTTGACAGCAGTGAAGATTTGTGACCAAGTTTATCATTACCCCAGCGCGTGGACGATTTGTACGGCTCTGAGGAGCTCACGGGGGGATATATTTTATGGCACGGTTGGAAGACAAACATACGCATTTATATGTCACTTGTTGCAATATAAATGCTAACTTGTACTTCTTTCAAAACTTTTAATGAATTGTATACATTCTGGAAGATTTACAGGGTGAATGGGATGACTCAAAATGTTACTTTAAACATATTTGTCACTTTGGCAATAGCATCAAAAAAATCTGGAAGATATTGCATTCAGAAATAAATCACAAAAAGAAGCATCTTACAAGAGGTTTATTTTGGTCATTAATGGTTGATGGGCCCCCCCATGCAGGATTTAAAGTTAAATTATGCAAAGTCAAAAACAAACCTTATAATACTTAATCAAACATGCATAAAACTGTCAGACCTAAATAAATTCTCTCAATTAACTTGCTTCAGATTGTGATTGCATTCGCTAATTTAATCAGCCTCAGAGTAATCTAGAGGCTGGGAAATGATGAATTCCTGTGAACACGAGCCCGACGGGGGCCAGGGTGGGACACCAAGCCTGGAGCTGAAGGCCTTCCGAGGTGGGGACCGAGAACCAGCTCTCTTTCCAGCTGGGGAGCTGTTTCGGTCAATCCCTGACGTGGAAGTAGATTCCGTCAGCCAGGCACAGGGCTCGACTTCACTGCTGTCTAGGAACAGCCTGAGGCAGCCTCCTTCCCACACCTGCAGCAGCCAGACCAGGGAACATCGTCTGGAAAAAGCTCCACTCCGGTTTTGCTTGGCTCCACCAACCTCAGCCTGGGTCCCTCTGTATCTTTTCCCGAACAATGAGAACCCAAATGTGCTCAGAATGGCTGTTTCCATCCACATCGCCCCTTCAGAGCCCGCTTGTGCACACCGAAGATTCCTGATTAAATCAGGATTATGTCCTTTTCTGGGGGAAGGGGCCCTGTCTTGGACACCATGGGCTGGAGGTGGCACCTGCACTGTGGGCTTGGAGCCTCTTGGGCATCCGCTGCTCCGCCCCAGGCTTACTCGGCCACTGCAGGAGGCCGCCTCGTCCGGCAGAAACCCCAAACCCAGGCAAACTGCACCGACACCCCGAGACCCACGCAGGTGTTTGTGCTTAAAAATGGAACAAAAGTTTTGTGGGTATTTTTGTAAAATTTAGTGAATCTAATTCAACCAGAGCCAAACCTGTTTATTGTGTCATTCTAGTGGATGAGGAAGACAATGGAGAGAGAGAGACAAAGAGAAACAGACAGAGAGACAGACAGAGAGAGGGAAGGAGAGACAGGCAGAGGGAAGGAGGGACACAGGGAGGGAGAAACAGAGAGACAGAGATGGAGAGAGACAAAGACAGAGACAGAGAGAGGGAGGGAGGAGGAGGAGGCTGGTGCATGCCTTTTCTGAGCTGACCGTGAGCTGAATCACTTTGGTGCAGTCCAAGGCCCTGATTGCTGCCTGAACCCACCTTGGGACCCCACCTCATTCCTCCAAGGCCCCCTTCCCCCGACCTCTTGGTGGACCTCCGTGAAGCCCTCAGCACGCATCTCTGTGGGGCCCTGCACAGATGGGGCTTCAGGCCAGCCTCGGATGTTTGACGGCCCCTGCTCTCCATCTGGCTAAATGCCCTGTTTTCATTGAATTTCAAAATAGGGGTGACGGGACATACATGGGCTTGCATTCTGCTTTTTCCCTGCTTGACCTTATGGACTGAACATTTTTTCAAGTCTCAGTACCCCTCATAAATCTCATGTTCAGTGGCTGTGGTGTATTCCAGAGTTCAGATGTGCCATCATTCACCTCGCCTTTCTTCTCCGATTGGGTGTGTGAGTTGGTGCCAATGTTTTGTTATTATAAATAATGCTGTGATGAACATCCCTGCACATAAATCTGTGCACGCGTACATTTCAAATACCGCCCTCTGGTTGGACCTGCCGACGGGGCTGAACTTTCTAAGGCTGCTGACACGTGCCCTGGCAAGCTCTGTGCTGCCCACTGGCTGGCCGGGCTGGGGGCTCCCCGCCTGAGCCCCACCATCGCCACCCTCACCCGCCCTCCCTGGGGTCTTCTGAGAGGCAGCGAGGCTGTTTCCTGCCAAGGGAACCAGGCCTGGCATCAGCCACTTACAACATAGGCAGCTGCGAGCGCCCCTCGCAGGGAGGAGTTGGGGGGCTGAGGGGCTCAGGAGCGTTTGTCTCGGGAAGGGAAGGCCCGAAGCATCTGGGGAGCTGCTGAGCTGTGACCTGGCTGGAAGCTGGGAGGGTGACGTCCCTGGAAGGGAGACACTGGCATGCCACAGCCAGGTGCAGGCAGCCAAAGGACAAACCC